TAGAGGAACGTCTGTCCAAGGCGAGGCCTCCAGACCAACAATAAACTGAAGATTACACCACAAATGGTATCACCTGGTCCAATAAAGTCCAGATCGACATCGGTCACCCAGATGAGTCGTAAGGACCGCCCCATCCACCCCTTCCTGGCAGGACTTTGTTCTTTCCGTGTACACTTGCGACGTGAGCCGCTTCCCCGCTGGGTCAACGTTACCCAAGTGGCTACACTTAGCATTTTATTGGTTGTTCGTAGTTTTAACCCACACAGTACCCGCCTTGTGATTTTGCTGTATAAAACTTCCTCCGAGAAGTGGGGTCCGCAGCAACTCACCTTCCAGTCCCCTCCTGTCTTTCAGAAGCCGTCTCCCTCAGTAAAGTTTTCGTACTCTCAAAAAAAAAAAAAAAAAATTTCTGTTAAAAAAAGAGAATGGCTGGCTTTTTTGTTATAAGCAGCTGAAAAAAAAAAATCACCCATCAATTAAAAAGGGGGCGTGCCCGGGGATTTAGCTCAGTGGTTCCCCCTCCTGCCTGGCAAGCACAAGGACCCGCATTTGATCCCTGGTACCAAAAAAAAAAAAAAAATCGCCCATAATGTTATAAGCAGCTGGAAGGATGAAGTTGCCAGCAACCAAGGTGTAAGAGGCTGAAGGTGGAGTAGATTTAACAGATAAGATGGGTTCTGTTCAAGGGTGCTGAGTTTGAGATGTTGATTGAAATCCGGGTGGAGATACCAAGTAGGCAGTTACATGGGGGATTTGGGAGAGAGGTGTGGGCTGAGGATGGAGAGTTGAAAGCTAGCACATACTTGGTATTTATAGCAAAGAGCTGGGTGTCAAGGGAGCAGGAGTAAATAGAACGGAGAACAGTAAGTACTCAATGCATATTCATGAAAACAGGACTCAATTCTCTTTTGATTCTCAAAATTTCGGCAGTACTTTTTTTGTGTCTTGGATGATAACTTGTATATATACCTTAACTCCTCTATAGATTATATATTTCTTGAAGACAGGAATTTGATCTCAGTCTTCTTTATATCCCCTTTCTTCTCCATCACCAGCGTGGAGTCAAAAAGGCGCCTTTCATGCAAGTGAATTGAAATTCACAGCAAACTTGTGTTTGTAGAGGAATCTGTCGTCAGGGAGAGAGGTTTTCTGACTTCTTTTGACCTGAGATTTGGGACAGACACCCCACATATGACAGGGCCACCTGTGAGCTCACTGTTCTTGTGACTGGTGAGCACCCCAGTGCGGACAGCCAAGATCAGCCTTTGAGACCCAACCCTACCTGAGGGACCACAGGGGGGAAACTGATGAAGGTCAGAACAGGGTGAAAGGCAGAAATACGATGGGGAGTCCGATCTGTGCATACACGACTTCCCCTCGGGAGATAAGCACTGTAAACACTTTCTGGCTCGGCCACAAGGACACAGCAGCAAAGTCTCGGTCCACTGAAGTGTCTTCACATTACTTGTCTTAGTTACTCTTCTCCATGCTGAGACAAAATACCCGACACCCAAAGCTAAAGCGGGGAAGGTTTATTTGGCTTATGGTTCATAGAGGATTCAGGCCATAATGGGCTGGTTCTAAGGCAGGGTGGTAGAGGGACTACAGTTCATGGCAGATAGTGGCAAAGCAACAAGAGCCTTAACTGCACCTTTCTGCCCCTTTTATCTTATCCAGACTGCTTGGGGCAGTAGTATTCACACCCTTAATCCTAGTGCCCTTGGGCCTGGCATTGCACCAGGAATCAATCCCACTGTCTAGATCCAGCCACCTCTGAAGAAGCCCCTCTGGTGTGGCGGGAATCTAAACACAAGCTAGAACATTATTGCTATCTTTATTGTTGTTATTTTAAAATTTTCAGCCCCAGGACATAAAACCTCCCATTTTTCCACTGGGACTTAAGAGTTTATAAAAAAAAAAAAAAAATCGCCCATAATGTTATAAGCAGCTGGAAGGATGAAGTTGCCAGCAACCAAGGTGTAAGAGGCTGAAGGTGGAGTAGATTTAACAGATAAGATGGGTTCTGTTCAAGGGTGCTGAGTTTGAGATGTTGATTGAAATCCGGGTGGAGATACCAAGTAGGCAGTTACATGGGGGATTTGGGAGAGAGGTGTGGGCTGAGGATGGAGAGTTGAAAGCTAGCACATACTTGGTATTTATAGCAAAGAGCTGGGTGTCAAGGGAGCAGGAGTAAATAGAACGGAGAACAGTAAGTACTCAATGCATATTCATGAAAACAGGACTCAATTCTCTTTTGATTCTCAAAATTTCGGCAGTACTTTTTTTGTGTCTTGGATGATAACTTGTATATATACCTTAACTCCTCTATAGATTATATATTTCTTGAAGACAGGAATTTGATCTCAGTCTTCTTTATATCCCCTTTCTTCTCCATCACCAGCGTGGAGTCAAAAAGGCGCCTTTCATGCAAGTGAATTGAAATTCACAGCAAACTTGTGTTTGTAGAGGAATCTGTCGTCAGGGAGAGAGGTTTTCTGACTTCTTTTGACCTGAGATTTGGGACAGACACCCCACATATGACAGGGCCACCTGTGAGCTCACTGTTCTTGTGACTGGTGAGCACCCCAGTGCGGACAGCCAAGATCAGCCTTTGAGACCCAACCCTACCTGAGGGACCACAGGGGGGAAACTGATGAAGGTCAGAACAGGGTGAAAGGCAGAAATACGATGGGGAGTCCGATCTGTGCATACACGACTTCCCCTCGGGAGATAAGCACTGTAAACACTTTCTGGCTCGGCCACAAGGACACAGCAGCAAAGTCTCGGTCCACTGAAGTGTCTTCACATTACTTGTCTTAGTTACTCTTCTCCATGCTGAGACAAAATACCCGACACCCAAAGCTAAAGCGGGGAAGGTTTATTTGGCTTATGGTTCATAGAGGATTCAGGCCATAATGGGCTGGTTCTAAGGCAGGGTGGTAGAGGGACTACAGTTCATGGCAGATAGTGGCAAAGCAACAAGAGCCTTAACTGCACCTTTCTGCCCCTTTTATCTTATCCAGACTGCTTGGGGCAGTAGTATTCACACCCTTAATCCTAGTGCCCTTGGGCCTGGCATTGCACCAGGAATCAATCCCACTGTCTAGATCCAGCCACCTCTGAAGAAGCCCCTCTGGTGTGGGGAGAATCTAAACACAAGCTAGAACATTATTGCTATCTTTATTGTTGTTATTTTAAAATTTTCAGCCCCAGGACATAAAACCTCCCATTTTTCCACTGGGACTTAAGAGTTTAGGAGTACCTGGGGCTTTTTGTTTTTAAACTTGTGCCCTTGGGCCTGGCATTGCACCAGGAATCAATCCCACTGTCTAGATCCAGCCACCTCTGAAGAAGCCCCTCTGGTGTGGCGGGAATCTAAACACAAGCTAGAACATTATTGCTATCTTTATTGTTGTTATTTTAAAATTTTCAGCCCCAGGACATAAAACCTCCCATTTTTCCACTGGGACTTAAGAGTTTAGGAGTACCTGGGGCTTTTTGTTTTTTTAAACTGCAAGACCAACTCTTGCTCACTTTCTGCCATCCTGCCTTTTATTCCTGGGAGTTCTCAAAGGTTTTGGAAATAGACTTTCTCTTGTCTCATTTTGATGCTGTGTTGGTGCAGGTTAACTTCCCGCATAGTTTTGCTCAGTAGCAGCATGCCCAGCTCCAATCTTGAATAACTTGGTATCACTCACTTTTTGTTTGTTTGTTTGTTTTTGCTCTTTACATAACCACAGCGCAGTATCAAGGTCAGGAAAATAATACTGACTTGACAACTGTTATACAATCCACAGTTCTTCTTCAAACATCACCAGTACTCTCGTGAGATTCATCTACAGAAGAAGGAAAACTCAATCACTAAATATCTTTTTTCCCCCCAGTATCAGGAATCAAACTCAGGACCTTACGCTTGTCAGGCAGGTGTGGTGTCACTGAGCTACATCCCTGGCCCTGTTAATAAATTTGTTATCCAAGATTAAATTCTGGGTCACATGTTGCATTTCATGCTCTTGTCTCGGTTGTCTTCTCAAGTCTGGAACAGTTCCTCAGACTGTCTTTGCCTTTTTGTTTTTAGGGGGATGTGGGGAGAAGGGGTGTCAAACTTAGGACCTTGTGCTTGCAAGGCAGGTTTGCCTTTTTTTTTTTTTTTTTTTTTTTTTTAAATACAGGGTCTTACTATGTTTTTAGGCTGGCCTCAAATAATCCTCCTGCTTCAGACTGGGCTCAAGCTATCCTCTTGCCTCAGTGTGGTAAATACAGTTTTTTTCACTACAAATTTACCACTTTTCTCTTTGTAATAATTGAACATGTTTTAGGAAAATACTCTGAAACCACACAACACTTTTTTTTAACCACACTGAGTTTTAGCAAATAATGAGGCAAGCCCTAAGTTGCATCCTCAGCCCATTAAATAAATTTATGTATTTATTTCAGTATTGGGATTATTCCTAGGACCTCTACATTGAGCTCCATGCACAGAGACCCCCAACAGGTTCTCCAGAGACTCCAAACAGGTTCTCGCTAAGTCACCTAGGCTGGGTTTGAACTTCTGATCCTTTTGCCTCAGCCTCCCAGAGGGCTGGGGTTTCAGACCTGTGCCACCAGGCCTTGTCCTATTTTTAAATTTTGAAACAGATCTCACTATATTGTGCAGGCTGGTCTTGAAATTACAATCTTCCTGCCTCAGCTTCCTCAGTAGGTGGGATTACAGCTGTGTACCATTACAGTTGGCAATGATACTCAGTTTTAATCATTTTGATTGTTACATGTAACACATATAAAGTAAAAACATAAATGGACAAAATTATGAATTATAAAAGTAGATCTGTATAATGACCCTGGCAGTAAAAGCAGAGCATTTCTGAATATTTCATTTGCCTTTTGCTGATTTATGACCCCTTGCCTCTAAAATTCACTGTTAGCTTTGACTTTTTTGTTTTTTTCCATTAAGTTTATTGGTACATTTTAGGTATACAATACAGTTACATTCATCATTAGGATCTTGCACCTTTAGCTTTGACTTTTGTTGCAATCTTGTCATTAAAAAATTCGAGGTCAGTTATGTTGGTGCACCCCTATAATCCCAGCATTCAGGAGGCTGAGGCAGGAGGATTGCTATGAGTTCCAGGCTGGCTAGGTCTACTTAGTGAGTTCAAGGCCAGCCTTGAGTACATAGCAAGGTCCTGTCTCAAACACAACAAAACATGAGAAAGTCTCTAGATATGCATTTTTAAGGTTTAGTTTTGTCTTATTGAAAAACTGTTATTGCACTAAAATCTATGTAACAGTACTGTTACCATTATGACCATTTCCATTTCTTGTTTTTGTGGTACACAAATTGGATCAAACTCAGGGCTTCATGACTATTAGACTAGTGCTGTACCTTCATTGTAGCCAGTGTGTGTGTGTGTGTGTGTGTGTGTGTGTGTGAGAGAGAGAGAGAGCGAGAGAGAGAGAGAGAGAGAGAGAGAGAGAGAGTATATGGCACTGGGATTGAACCAAGGGCCTCCACACTTTTCTTTTGTCTTTTATTTATTTATTTATTTATTTATTTATTTATTTTTGAGACAGGACCTTGCTATGTAATCCAGGCTGGCCTTTAACTTGCAGGGATATTCCTGCCTCAGCCTCATGAGTGCTGGGATTACAGGCATGCACCACCAAGCCTGTCTGTTTTGTTTTTGTTTTTTTTGAAATACTTGACTTATTTATTAATGGGAATGGTTCAAGATAATTTATTTATCTATTTTTAGTCATATTTATTGAGGTTTAATTTACCCTTTTTTATAGTTTTATTACCTTTGACAAACACGTAATTGTCAAATTTTCAGGAAGGCCTATTCCCTTATGTCTCTTTTAGAGAAGGAGAGGTGCAATGGTACATTGGTGAAGAAAAGCAAAGAGATGATTAATTTGGGGGGATTTTTATGGGAACCAAGGTCACAGTTTGCTCATAGCAGGGCCTGGTTGTTTGTGCCCTCTCAAGTTGAGCAGATTAACTCACTTCATCCCCTAATGCAGTTAATATTGACCTGACCTGGTCCTTTAGGATGACATTTATTTGGTCACTGGTCTTCTGTAGTATCAGGAGTGGAGAAAAAGAGGAATCAATTATAAACGATTTTAAGAAGTGAGCTATGTCTCTGTGTGGTTTATTTCATTTTTGCTCCATCAACAAAACATTCTAGAGACCTTAATTATATTTTAGATGTAGCAATAATAGATACTAGATTTCTTTCTTTCTTTATCTTATATAGTTTACTGGTACTTTTTAAGTATTCAGTACAGTTACATTCATCATTGGGATGTTGTACCTTTACATGGCAGATCTTTGTTCTCATTTTTTCCCCATAACCCCTGCAATAGATCCCAGATTTCAATTTTACTTCCAAATCCATGCTTTATTCCCATAAGTGACATATACTCAGACAATATACTTTGATTTGGGGTTGGAAAATATGATCATTGTGAGGTATAGCACAGAGAGAAGATTAGCTTATTTCAAGTGTAGAATTGGGCATTTATAGAAATGTAGAATCACAGTGGACCTGTGACTACATTAACTGTGAACCTTGGTTAGAGAGAGAACTACTTCCTATCCAATGGCTGAATGCCTATTATATGTCTACCGGGCATTGTGCTCAGTGCTTTTCCTACTGACAGCTGCTCTGATATGATTCTCTCCTGGATCCAACCACCATTCAAATCAAAACAACAAAAACATCAGCAAGAAAATAAACACATAAGTCTCACAAGGCCTAGTTCATTAATAGTTGTCACACCTGCCACACCCTCTAGAAGACCCTGGCACCATAATTAGGATAATGGAATCTCAGGGCTTTGAGGTCACGCGTTAGAAGGGCAACAGCTCTTCTCTTTACCACTGTGCGAGTGCCACAGTGCTCACTTCTCCCAGTGTGAGGTGCAGCCCCCATCTGGGACTGTGGTCTCCAGGCTGCAATCTCAGAAAAGAAAGGACAACGGTAAATGTAAAACTTGAAATACCTTCCAGCCTTCCAGACTAGAAAGGGCAATAGGAAGAAACATGGCTTACAGGAACCTCAGACAGTGTAAACGATAACCAAACCGAACCAAACCCCAACAAACGAGTAACTGGCAGAGATCCAAGGCAAGAAGGTTCAGACCCCTTGAATTCAGAAGAGGTCCACAAAAGAGATCTCGATTAGTCCAGGTAAACCTCAAAGAATTTTCTTTCTTTCATTTCACCAGCTCTGAGATCCTAGCTCTCCTGAATTGTCCTTTTCTTTGCCCTTTTATCTGAAAGCCGAGAAACTCTTCCATGGAAATAGAGTGAAGGAAGGGGCCTTAGATGGAATGGACGATAGCAGGTAGAGTCTCAAATATCTGAGTGCTGGTAAATACAGCCGTGCTGGAGGCAGGAGATACATCTCGTGCCCTCTCAAGGTCCCTGAGGTTCACGGATACTGTCATTCTTCGGCTGTCTAGGGGGAGGGCCTGAACAGTCCATGCTGCCATGGAAACGCGCCGCCGAGTTCCTTTTTCTTACGTGGGGCGGGGCCTTCTTCCGCAGCCACCTATCGTTCACAGAGTTTCTTGAGTGGCGAGCAGCAGCAGCGAATGGGTGGCCTGATGCTGCGTGACGCGACGGGAAAAGGGGGAGCTCGCAGCCGGTGGCGGCGGTGGCGACAGCGGCGACCCGGGGATCGAGCTGGAGGGACCTGGGGACAGTGCCGAAACCTCTAGCTCTAGCGTGAGGGACCCCACGCCGGGATGCCTGGTACCACCCGGGGGAAACGGGGCGCAGCGGGCTCCGAAGGCATGGGTCTGCAGTCCGGAGGGACGGCGGC